CCGAGCAGCGGCGGAACCTGCTGGCCTTCCGAGACTATGTCACCAAGATCCTGGACCCCACCTACGTCCTGAGCTACATGGCCCCCTGGTTTAAGGAGGGTGAGTGTCGGCGGCGGCGCCCACCCCGGGGCAGGAAAGCAATTCAGGACGCGTTTTCCCTCGGTTTCCACCCCTTCTTTTAATCAATACGGGCAGGCTGCCGGGAACGCGGGGTTTGTGGCACGATGCCCACAACATTTTAGACTAGAGAGTGTCAGAGTTTGAGGGTGACCTTGGGGGTCCGGTGGGGAAACTGAGTCTCAGAGAGGTGAAATGACTTGCTGTAGGGGTGCACATCTGTATGGATTCAATGCTGAAACGAGTCGCTGTCCCTTTCATTTAGTTCCACTAATAGTTACATCTACTGTGTGTTCAGTTTTATGCTGACATCAGAGATTCAGAAGTAAGATACAGGCCCTCCTTTAAAATACTTTACATTTTGGAACTCATTCAAAGTTTCCCTCTTCTTGTGATTGTTGTAGTTTCTTACATAGAAAGTAGCCGATCCAATGTAATCTTTTTACCTTTTTAAAAACCAGGATAGAGTACCTATTAGAGTTTTACATTGTTGATGACTGATTAAAAATAAAGTGATGTTCTCTCTTGGGGGAAAAAAAAATACAGCCCACAGTTTTGGAAGTGGGATGTGGGTGAGGACAGATGTACACAAATGCTTACAAAACAGTGTCAGAGCTGCGAGGAAATCTATGCTTGCTCTGCTGTCACTTCCAAATAACTAGAAACTTGAGAGGAACAAGACTTGGACCGAATGGCTTTAGGCTTTAATTCAGGTGTTTCCATCCAGCTTTTGAGACATGTGATGATGGATAATGGCCATTTGGTACATTTGTATTGAAGCGCTTTGTGCTGGAGGTGAGTGCAGGGAAGAAGGGAGGTGATGCCTGAAAGGAATTGGGGTGAGAGAGTGGATCTGGCCATTCCTTTTCAGACTCCAGGTGCCTAAGTATCTTTCCCGATGTGAGGCAGTTTTTGGAAATTGCGTTAAAGCAGATGGGTAACTTTTCTAATTGTTCTGCAAAACCAAACCACAGGCTGTGGAGTGAGGAGTGAGAGGATACCACCAACAGTGAACCTCCACTTTCCACTTGTGCTCAGAGTGAAGCCACAAAATAACATCCTAATGACCACAGAGTAGCTTCTGCCCCTGGAGACTGTAAGCCTGTGCAGGACATTCTTTTAGAATTCCCTAGAATAAGTGAAACACTAACAAACTGGTGTAAATTCCATTCTTTCATACACTCATGTACTGATTCAAAAACAACTCATGGCCCGGCCGGGCGTGGCTCAGCGGTTGGGCATCGACCTAGGATCCAGGAGATCGAGGTACGATTCCTGGTCCCGGCCCATGCCCGGGTTGTGGGCTCGATCCCAGTTGGGGCGTGCAGGAGGCATTGTTCTGATATGCCGTGGTTGCGGGTTTGATGCCCTGTCAGGGCACATACAAGAGTCAACCAATGAATCATAGATAGGTGGAACAACACATTGATGTTTCTCTTTCTCCCTTCCACTCTCTCTAAAAATTAATAAAATTTTAAAATTAGAAGGCAGTGGGAGCTTCTCCATATCCTTATGCCCATACATTCCTATGTACAAACACAAATACACCAGTATGTTTAAATTGCACCAGCAATATCCTCTATCTCTTTTACTATAATTCTTCTTTCCATGTGTTGGATATTGGGAAAGGAGCATTGAAGACATGCTTCTTCTGGAGAGCTTGCATGGTCACTGGGGTGCTGTAGGGCTTTATTGAGGTTATCCATGATGTTTAAGGTAGGCCTGGGTATGGGCTACAGATTTTTCTGTAATATCCCTTTCGAGTCAAAGCCTAACCCTATATGCTGGAGGGGCGCTGGGGGAGCAGAATTCTGAGAATTTATTTATCCATTCCTTCAGTAAGGTTTTCTGGACACATTCATTAGCCAGGCACTCTGTTGATGATCAGAAAACAAAGAGGAAGACAGAAATGATTACAACATGTCCATGGTCATAGCCTAAGAGAGAAGACAGACCCTCAACAATTACAGCAGTACTTCGGTTTTTGAACATTTCAGAACTCGAACGGTCTTCTGGAAGATTACATTAGAAAACCGAGGTACCACTGTACCATAAACTGTGCAGTGTCAGTGCTCTAGTCAGGCATATAAAGAGACTGAGAAAGCACAGAAAAGAGATCAAGAAATTCTACCTTGGGAAGCTGAAGGTGGCATACATGCCATACATAGATGGACCTTGAAAACAGTATGCTAAGTGAAAGAACCGGGTCACAAAGCCTGCATATTGTATACCATTCATATGAAATGACCAAAATAGGCAAATCCTGAGAGACCTAACTAGATTATTAGTTGCCTGAGGCTAAGGGGAGGGTAAATGGGAAGTGACTACGAATGAATACAAGATTTCTTTGTACAGCAATGAAAATGTACTAATGTCATTATCGGAGAAATTGGGGTGTGCTCATCCCCACTGGGTGCTGGGTGTGGGGTCCTTATGATATCTTGAGAAAAAGAATTTTCTGAGACATGGGAAGATGAATGATTTTTATTTGCATGAAATCACATTCCTGGATTTCCAAAGTCCCATTTCCCTTAGTTCAGTTATAGAAGAAGTGTACCTGGGGTTTCCGTAGAGCTAGAAGCAAAGCCAGTGTCCAGAGTTTTCTTTCCATGTCGGAACCGGGTCCAGTTCAGCATCAGACTTACTGTAGTCCATTAGTTCGTTGTGTGTGGGGGGCCACGTGGCCATGGGTCATGTGAGCAAACACAAGGGAGCATGCCCTGAGCAATAAGCGTCCTAAGAGCATAAGAGGAACCAAGAGCCCAAGAGTTTCTTTGTTCGGGGAATTAAGTATTTCAAATTTCCAAGCACTTGCAGTGGCTACACCCATTCTCGCCAATGACCTGTTTCCCAGGTGTGACTGACAGGCAAGTACCTTCCTGATGTCGCCCCAGCTTTACTTGGCATGTGTCTATGCTCCTCCCTGTCTAGTTCCTTCCCCCAGCGATCTGTGGGGAATAGACCGGCGGCTCCCTGGGGAGTGTAAAACTAGCTCCCTGGTGAAGCTGCCCAAATGACATGCCTGTGATATTTGGCCTTCCCTTTGCTCCTTTCCTGTCATTAATAACTAATTACAACAGTATCAGAATTAGATAGTGGTGATAGTTACAACTCCTAAAAACCATTGAATTTTATACTTTAAAAGGGTTAATTTTATTGTTGTCATGACTGAGCAGGAAGGCATTCCTTCCGTTCATTCGGCATACTTTCGTTGAGTGTCTGTTACCTGCTGTGTTCTCTTCTAACCTCTGAGAATGCAGTGATTGACCACCCAGGCATCTGGCTTACTCCCTTGGCATTTACATTCCGTTAACAGCAGGGGGGTAGAAAATTACCAAATGTCAGGTCCTGTGAAGGCAATGGTTTGGTTACCACCCCAGACATGGAGTTAGTGTACATAGTCAGTATGACAACCTACAGGTTGGTGGATAGTTTTTCTGCTACTTGGCCTCACTGTGTTTCTCTTTAGCTCTCCTTGCTTTCTCTTTTCTGCCATATTGCCTACTATCTTAGCAAAAGCCTGGAAAAAGGACCATGAAAATATCTCTGTTTATTTCTATTTCTAACTCCGCTTGCTGAGTCCACTGTAATTGCTACTGGAGTGGTCCCGCCCTCACACTCTTAGTCCTGCAGTTAATTCAGACTTTTGAACAAGAGACTCAAAATGTTGGAGGAAACCTTTGTTTTTCCATCCAATCCAATGTTACCATGACTTCTCCCTTGTTGTGGGAAACTTTTTCATACATCTTTAAGAAACTCCTTTTCTTTTTAATAATTTTTCAATTTTTCAACAGACTCTACATGACTGCTTCTGTATATCCTTGGTTATAGGACATCTCTTCAGCTAGACTTCAGGCGATTCTCAGTGATGGTTGTTCTGTAGTTTAGTTGTAATTTTGATGTGGTCACGGGAGGAGATGAATCCAGTGTTCCCAGTGTTTCCCTCTCTGCCATCTTGACTGGAAGCCAAGAAACTCCATTTCTTTAGGACTGCCCTAGAGTGTGCTCCTGCACATCCATTACCAAACTGGGAGAATTTCCAGAGAGGATGGGAGGATTGGTGAAGGATGGGCAGAGAATTTGCTGCCTTCCTGCAGTGCCTTCTATTGCTGTGATTAGTTTCCATCTCCACTTGAGAAGGTTTGACAACCCTGTTTCGGTTTTTATTCCAATTGTTATTGTCATAATTAGCTAGTTATTAATATTAATAATAGGAAGAGAGCAAAGGGGAAGTCAGACATTATAAACATGGTCATCTGGGCAGCTTCACCAGGAAGCTATAACTTCACACTCCAGGGAACTAATAGGGGGGAATGGCATGTGATAGGAGTAGGACCAAAGCTGTTTAATGATTATTCGCCTTACTAACTATAGATAAGAGGTTTTCTTACAGACACTGAGAAACTGGAGGATGTGTTGAAAGGAAAAAAACAGGGTGGTAAAAAGATAAGAGATGCCTCTAAGCCCGGATGGGTCCATTACTCAGAAAAGAAGATACATTTTGAGAACAAAGGACAGGGCACACTTTGATTGCTGTGCCTGGACCCTCACCCCCTCTGGGAGTTTGCCTCAGGAATACTGACCACTCTCCAGTCCCAGGAACAAGCTGAGCTGGGTTTTAACATCATAGAAAATTAACTACCTTGTTATCAAACTTCAAGATCCTGGAGATACATGGGCCACGGACCTTGCAGCACTTATCCTACCCCCCGCTTCCCCCTTGCATGTAGCCTTTCTTTCTTATCCATATATAATCAGCCAGCTAGTAGGGTTTAGAGCAGAATTTACAGGATTACCTGCTGCTCTCTCCATGTTGGGGGCATTATTGGAATAAATGCTCATATATGATTCAACCTTATTTCTGCTTAATTTGGCTCAAGTAGTGACAGACGGCCTGGACCTGTTTTGTGTCCAGTTTCAGAACCACCAGTCCATTTCTTGCAAATCACTGGGGGAAGGGCTCAAATAAAGGGGGAGATAGGTGCATGTACAGTGAAGTCAGGGTGACGTAGGGAAGGTGCTTGTCTGTCAGTCTAACCTGGGAAAAGATAATTGACTAGGGGGGTGAAGCCACTGCAAGCACATGAGATCTTGAAGGGTTAATTGGTTAAGCTCCTGGTTGTAATCCCCAAAGAATTCCTTCTCTCTTGTGCTATTGCCCATTCTTGCACTCTCTTGCTCTGTGACCTGCACTCACCCACCATGTGGCCTTAAGTGGCGCATGGCCCATAGCCATGCAGACCCCACACATAATGGACTGCAGCTGGGAACACAAGCTAAGCTAGCCAGATGGTAGACTGGACTGTGCTTTAATATGAAGCAGAGACTCTGGGCAGTGGCCTTAATTCTAGCCTGCTGAAGACAAGATTGGACTTTTTCCATGGTGGGGTGGAGGGAAATCAGACATTGGAAACCCAGGGGTTCAATTCCACAGAAATAAAGATCAGTCATCCTCCTGTGTGAGTCACAAGAAATTCCTTTCCTTGCGACATCACAGGAACTCCACTTCCACTGGTAACAGATGGGGACACAGAGGGCGCCCCACTGGTAACAGTAAGTAGTGGTTCTACAGTTCAATGAGTCACTCTGGCTTCTGTTTGTAGATGAGATGCAGTATATTCAGGCCGAGAAAAACAACAAGGGTGTGATGGAGGCTGCTGCACTTTTTCTCAAGTTCCTGTTGGAGCTCCAGGAGGAAGGCTGGTTTCGTGCCTTTTTGGATGCTCTTAACCATGCAGGTTAGTTTATTCTTTGTATTCACAAATCAGAGTATAATACCTTTCTGTTTCAGAATGATGTACAAGTGAAATGCTGTTAATTTTGAGGCATTCACATATAGTTCATGTCTTTTAATCTGAGTCAATGTAAAGGCTATTTTCAGGCAAATAATATAATTGTCTATATGAAAAAGTCAAAGGAGACTGCAGAATGTTGTACCTAATGGGAGAATTTAGCAGGTTTATTGGATAGAAGATCAGTATACAAAAGGTAGTTGCATTTTCACCCACTGGAAGCAAATAGAAATATCATTTATAATAGTAACAAAAGTTAGCATGGATTTAGGAATAAACCTAGCAAAGGGTATATAAAATCTGAATGGAGAACATGATAAAATGTTAGTTACTGAAAGATATTAAAGAAGTCTTATCTACGTGGAGATATATACCCATGCACAGGAAGAGGAAGACTTGATGTAAAAATGTCATCTCTCCCTACATCGATCTATATATTCAATACAATTCTAGTAAAAATCTTACATGCTTTTTCATGAGTTTGACAAGCTGATTCTAAAATGTGTGTGAAAGAATTATGACCCAGGAATACTCAAGAATTCCCCAAAGAAGAATTAAGTAGGCTGGGGTTTTCCCTTCTAGACATCAAGATTTATTATAAAGCCATAGGCATTGAGACACTGTAACTCTGTTCCTAGAATTGACTAGTTGACCAATGAAATAGAATAGAGAGCCTTCAATTAGGCTCATATATTTATGGAAACCTGTTATATTATGATCACTGGGAAAGAAGTATTAGGAAAGAAGGGGCTTTTTGATAAATTGCAATGGGCCATTATTAACAGGATAACCTAAAGAGGATAATGTTGGAAACCAAACAAACCCTAACTTTCATATCCATGCGGATACAAGTAAATTTGTATTCCTTACCTCATTCCACTTATATATACACACAATATGAATCCAAAAGAATTAAAGATTTAATTCTTAAAGGTAAAATTTTAACAATTTTACAAAATAATGTAGAATCACAATTTTATTACCTTGGGTTATGGCAAGATTTATAAAACAAGACATTGAAGCATTAAACCATAAAAGAAAGATTGATAAATTCCATGACATTAATATTAAGAACATTTATTTGTCAAAACACATTATAAAGAAAGTGAAAAAAGAAGACTGGGAGAAGATATTTGCAAAATACATAATTACCAAAGAATTAATCCATAGAGCATGTTTTTAAAAAGGCTTTAAAATCAATTAGAAAAAGAAAGAAAACATCAGTCCTGGCTGGTGTGGTTCAGTTGGTTGGAGCATCGTTCCATGCACCTAAGGGTCACGGGTTCAATTCCTAGTCGAGGCACATGCCCAGGTCGTGGGTTTGATCCCTGTCAGGGTGTGTACGGGAGGCAACCAATCAATATTTCTCTCTCACATTGATGTTTTTCTCTCTCCCTTTCCCTTCCTCTTTCTCTAAAATAAAGTAAGTAAGTAAATAAATAAATAAGAAAGAAAACATCCACAGGACAGAAGATGTGGACTATTTAAAGAATAGGAAGAAAAATAAAGAATAGGAAGTATGAAAGGTTAATAAACATATAAGAAGATACTCAGCTCAATTAGCAATTAGGGAATTATAAATTAGGAACACAATGAGATAAAAATTTTAAATTAATAGATGACAAAACTTAAAAAGTCCAACAGTGTTAAGGATTGAAGAAGACATTTAATAATGGGTAGTCTTAGATATCACCCTACAGAGTGTAACTTGATACAACTGTTTTGAAAAACAGTTTGGCATCGTCTTGTATAGTTCAGCTCTCAGGTATCCTTCTAACTGTTAAGTATGTACCCTAGAAAAATTCTTGTACATATATTCCAGAATTCATACAAGAATGCTCATAGTATAATTGTTTGTATTAATAAAAGCAAGCCAGCAAACAAACAAAACTGGAAGCAGCCCTGAGAAGAGAAGAATGGACAGATAAATTTCAAAATGTTCACACAGTGGTTCATTATACAGCAACGAAAAGGTATGAGCAAAGCTACAGACTTGTCAACACAGGTTAAGCTTAGAAGTATAATATTAAACTTACTTAAAAGTCAGAGAAAATTCCACTTAGTAGAATATAATAATAAAGTTCCAAGTAAGCTAAACAAAACATATATTGTTTAGAGAATCAAACATATGTCATGCAACTATTAAAAAAAAATCAAGGGAGTGATACATCAAATATAGGACAGGAGTATATTTGTGGAGAGATAGAAGGGTGGAAAAAGGAGACACACACCCACAAACGTATTGGACTATTCTAGCTCTTAAGTTGTGAATGCGTTTCCACGTGTTCGTTGCTGTTCTGCCATTTATATCCTAGTGAAAATATGTGGACCTTAAAGTCAGACAAACCTACTAATTCTGTTAGAGAGCCTTAGAGTGAAGCATTCTTGGGTTATTACAATTGGAAATAATTCTTTTCCATCTCAAATTTCTCATTATACTTAGTTATCTTTTCTTGGAATAATACAGAAGGTAAGCTCCTGAGAGGCCAGAATTATGATTTATATTTCTGTTTGCCTTCTTTACTGCTTTGCACTGACAAGATACTTAACATGATGGTTTGACTCATTGAAAGATAAACCAGGTGTTGTAGGTGGAGTCCATGGATGTAGTTTGGAAGGAAGATTTTATTAAGACCAAGTGTGAGACTTCACATATGTCCTTAGTACTTTCTCCTAAGAGATGATAAATATTGTTAGAGGACCTAAAATGAATATCGAGTTTTCTTTTTGTAACATCACTAATAACTAAGGTGATTTACAGATATTTTTGAGTTCTATCACTATACGTTCAGACATAATTCTGTGATATTAAATTATCTTTAAGTATTTTTTTATTTGGTCTCATAAAAGCCCCCAATTCTCTCTCTCTCTCTCTCTCTTTTTCTTTTCAGGTTATTCTGGACTTTATGAAGCCATTGAAAGTTGGAATTTCCACAAAATAGAAAAGTTGGAGGAATATAGATTGCTTTTAAGGCGTTTGCAACCAGAATTTAAAACCATAATTAATCCAGATGAGCTCCTTCCTGAAATATCTGAATGTTTAATTATTCAGGATTGTGAAGAAATTAGACAGGTAAAATAATTAAAATAAAATTCTGAATTTAGGGGAAATAATTTGAACATGGAAAATGTCTTCTGCTTTCTATACTGTTTTAGACCTAAGAAAGATCACTGAAATCCACAAAAGTCTTCAAACCTAAGGTGTAATTACCTAGCACAGTACTTTTACTTGTTAACTGAGTAAATTTTATGTCACAAGTTTTTTTTCAGGTTTGCCCTATTTTCAGTTAAAATTATTTTTATTACTTTGTGAATAATATTTTATGCAAATTTAAATAAAATCAAACAGTTTAGCAAATAAAAAGAAAAAAAAGTCATATAATCTAGTGGTTAAGTGTTCAGGCTCTGGACACAAATAAATTTTGTTAGAATCCTAGCTCAACCACTTACTAGTGGTGTGATCTTAGTCAAGTTACTTAGTTTCTCTAAGCCTCTGTTTATTCATGTATAAAATGGAAATAATAATAGTATCTTATTACTATATTTTTATAAAGATTAAATGAGTTAATATATATAAAATATTTACATATGCCTGGCATATAATAATATGTGCTCAATAAATTTTAGTTATTATGGTTAATAATAAAAGTCATGTAACTCTCTCTACCCTGAAAAAAGCATTTGTTAATATTTGTTTATATTCTTTCAAATATCCCTCAATGCCAATATATCCATATTTTGAATGGCTGCTAAATGGGTTGTTTTCCTAATATTGCTGATGATGATTGGATATAAGATCTCAGAGGAGATGAGAATGCTTGGCTTGACATAGTGATCTAACATGTAGAGGACAAGGGTGAAGGAAGGGTATCTTAAAAGATTATGTGGGCCCTGGCCAGTCTGGCTCAGTGGTTAGAGCGTCAGCCTGTAGGCTGAAGGGTCTCAGGTTCGATTCTGGCCAAGGGCACATACCTCAGTTGCAAGTTTGATCCCTGGCCCTGATGGCGTGTGTGGGAGGCAACCAATTGATGTGTCTCTTTCACATCAATGTTTCTCTCTCTCTGTTTCTCTCCCCCCAACCCTGAAAAGCCCTTCCACTCTCTGTGAAAAGCAATGGAAAAAATATCATCGGATGAAGTTTAAAAAAAAAAAAAAGTTATGTGGGATGGGGCAAAAATGGTCATGAATAAGACCTATTGAACCATGGTACACAATGATTTAAAATCAGATTGCATTCGAATTGGTATTTCTTCAGTAAAAACTCATGAGAGGAAAACTTTGAAATAATTGATTAATCAACTGCAGTTGTCTTGCTCAGGTTTGTTCCAACAAGGGGCCAATGGCAGGTGCGGAGAAAATAGTTGAATGCCTTCTCAGATCAGACAAGGAGAACTGGCCCAAATCTTTGCAACTTGCTTTGGAGAGAGAAGAGAGCAAGTTCAGTGAACTGTGGATTATAGAGAAAGGTAAGATTTTCAAGGAAGAGCTCTGAAGGGTGGGAGGGTCTGAAAACATGCTCTGCCTTCCTTCATTCCTACCTGTTTTCACTCACTGTCAGAGGCGTTTTTCCCCTCTGATACCCATGGCTATGTCGCTAATGAGAGACCAGCATGAGATTGAATTCTGGAAGGCAAGTGGCTACAGAAGTAGTTTGGTTGTATATAAGCCCTAAATATGGACCAGGGCAAATCGTTCTCATCCAGAATTAGCCCATCTGGCCCAAAGGATTTGGAGAAGGCAGAGTCTGAGCTCGCTATCTGGGTTCAGATTATCAGAGAAATAGCTTGAAAATTCTAGAGTTAAAAAGGTTCTGACTAGGACTCACCATAGTAGACTCATGATAGACATTGCTTGGTTCTCTGCCTGGAAGCCATCAGGAACTGAACCAGAACAGGACTGAAAAAAGAACTGTTGTGATTGAGTATCTGAGCCATCACTGGGCTCCCTGAAGCCAACCTCAGAGCACTGTTTTAAAGGCTGGGTTTGGTAAGCCCTCTGAGTGTCTGGCCTTAGCTTTTCCTAGGCTTCTTTAGGTTACAATTGTTCCAGAAATTGTCTGTGTAAATTCACATCTGATTTCTTGGGTCAGGCCAGGAATGGAAGACATGAATATCTGCTAAAATCAAGCTTCCCTTCTTTAGAGAGCTTGAGAACCACGTGGGGATCTTGTTCAAATGCAGATTCTGATTCCATGGGGGCTCCAGGGTCTGCATTTCTCACAAGTTCTAGAAGTTGCTGCTCTGTGTTCCACACTTTGAGTAATAAAATCTGAAATGACATTGGCGTTCAAACTCCAAATCCAGATAGCAAACTCAAAAAGATTCTTTTAATTGTTTTAACTGTTTTAAAGGTGACAGGAGTGTTGGTGAGAAATCTTAAGGGAAGTTTAAAATGTTAGTCTTATGACCTCATTGTAAGGCTTTCACCCTTAGGACTGGAGTCAGATTATGTAAAGATTCTAAGATGTTTTTTGGTCTCATAAAGATGCAAAAGAAGAAGTGAAAGATTTCGAGGATGAGGAAATAGAAGCTTCCGAAGTACAGATTTTCTACAAGGAAGAGCCAGAATGCCAGAATCTTAGCGAGAACTCGAGCCCGCCTTCAGGTACTGGCGCTGCTTTTTCTGTTCCGTTTGGCGCTCGTCAAGGAGTTTGTGTGGGGACACGTTTTCAGAACCAAAAGTCACGGCCTTACAGAAAGCTTTTTAAGGGCAAGTAATAAAGCAGAGAATTTACATTACCATAAACACTTTTTTCTGTCAGTAGGCATGTCATTCCCTCTCTTCCGTAGCAAGGGTCAGTTTCTTCTTCCCCTTCTGCGTCCTTGTTTCCGTGGGTCTTCTTTCATCACTGGGCAAGTGTGGGCATGTCTACACTGCAAATGCAGATGGTCACCCAGAAGCTCAGGGACTGAAATGGTGCTTTCATTACAGGATTAAAAAATCAGCCCCGCTTTTAAAGACATACTTCTAATATTTGAGAGTCGCTTGCTGAGTTTCCTTCTAAGGTCCCAGGGCTGCGGTGTAAGGCGATGAAGTTTGTGCCCATGTGTACGCGGCTGAGGCGTTGAGTGGGGATTGAACCCAGCCTGGGCTCCTTGTCAGACTGTGCACTGAGGGGCTGTGGCCTCCAACAGGGCGCTTTTTCTAATTCATACAAAGGCCCTGTATGAGTTGAGTTACCTATGGCCCTATAAGGCCCATCTTATGGTTCTAGAAACATATTTTCATGAGGAGACCAGAAAGTTGTGTAATAAGCCACAGTAAAAAGTTATTGACCAAAGGGCATCAGGGAAGAAATGATGACACACAGTGAGTGGTGTTAGAGGGAAGGTGTGATTTGGGGTTAACACCGCAAGAAGCAAATTTACAGATTACTTCTGCAACCGAATGATGCAAGTTGTTTTGTCATTCCAGAATAAAATCAATGAATGTAAATTGCTTTAAACTTTCCTGACATGTAAAAGTCCTTAGTGAACTCTTTTAACCTTTTAGAAAGTCTCCTCTTCTTTAAAATGGATAGGTTGGATTCTTTAGGTGATTTTCCAGGTATCTGTTGCTCTTAACATTTCTATGTGCTATTAGTGAGATAAAGCCTCTGATTGTTTTTTAAAACTTCAGGCTCTGTTGAGAGAAAATCCCGTGTGAGAGCCTGCAGAATGACAAAGCATGACTGCTCTTCCATAAGAGATTGCTTTGAGAATTCAGTATTTACAGTTTAGTGTTTGTCAAAGGTCTTAGAGGGATTCCTTGCTATTTTGTTCCACATAGCATTTCCTTCAACCAGTGGGCATCTGTTTTGCCCTGAGTTAAGCCACTTACTATTTTATTTTATTTTTTTCCTTCCCATCTTGCCGTCAGTACTTTGTCATTGAGGGAGAATTCTGTGCCTGAAATCAGTGGAGAAGCTGGAATGGTTAACAAAAAAACAAGGATTCTGAACTTTCTTGCACGAGGCCCTTCTTGCTGGAGTCAGCATTCCTGTCAGTTTGATCATAGATATAGCTCCTGCCTTGATTCCTCAGAGCAGAAACGATTTGGTAATTTTGTTCCTTTTGTGTTTCAGAAGTGACTCATATCAACAGCCCAATGAAGCCAAGAAATTACCAACTAGAGCTCGCTTTTCCTGCGTTAAAAGGGAAAAACACAATAATCTGCGCTCCTACTGGTAAGCTGATTGCCAGTACTTATATGCTTTGTTTCTCTGCTCCCCTTTTTCCCCTTTTACTGAATACTGGGATGAGATGGGCAAGTTTTCATTTTTCCCTTGTTCCATTTGTCTTTTGAGTCTCAAGGTATTTTAAAAAACTGGAGGGGAAAGAAAAATCCCATCTTTTCGCTTGCTTCAGGCCCTGACTGCTTGGGTACATATTATCTAAGAAACAGCTTGATATTTTTTAGTCATGGTATAAATTCTGCCATTGTTAACCCATCCGCATTACCCATTTACTAGGCCACCCAGTAGTTTTAGGAGAGCCCAAACTAATTACCTTTCCACAGAAATAGTTTCCTATGATATTAGTTACATGTTTTCTTTTTCTTTATTTGTTAAAAGGTTGTGGAAAAACCTTTGTTGCACTTCTCATATGTGAACAACATCTTCAAAATTTTCCACAAGGACAAAAGGGGAAGGTTGTGTTTTTTGCGAATCAACTCCCAGTGTATGAACAGCAGAAATCTGTGTTCTTAAAACATTTTGAAAGACTTGGGTAAGTGTAACAGTTGTTTCAACTTCTTACTCTCTAGTTTATGTAACGGGTGTGCTTTCTGCTTTTTTCTGTTTTTGGAAAGCCATGATTCAAAAAATTTATAGTAGATTCAGCTTTCATATAATCTAGATGTAATTCCTTCTGGATTCAAGTGTGTTTTGTTAGCTATACCTAAAACCCTAAACTCCTTTGGTTAGGTCTTGAGGAATAAGTAAATGACTTAAGAGATAAACTGTACATTTAACTGGCACGTTTTTAATGATTTTATGATTTATTTACTATTACTCTTTACTATTTTTTTTTCTTAGTGGCTTGAAAGAATTAATATATACTTCTAGCAATTTTAACTAGCTTGCATTTATTGATCACTTACTATGTGTAAGACTGTGCTAAGCACTTGTCTCCTTTTAGACTTGGGGAGAACTCAATCAGCTCATGTTCTGACCTAGTGTTTCATATCTTTGTGGTTTCTCACTCACATTGTGGTTGGTAATAGGCAGTTTCTGGCACTTTCCAGGTACAAAGTTGGAGGCATTTCTGGAGCAACATTTGAGAATATCTCTGTGGAACAGATTGTGGAGAACAATGACATCATCATTTTAACGCCACAGATTCTTGTGAACAGCCTTAGAAATGGGACTGTTCCATCACTCTCTGTTTTTACTTTGATGATATTTGATGAATGCCACAACACCAGTAAACGCCATCCTTACAATGTGATCATGTTCAATTACCTAGATCAGAAACTTGGAAGATCTTCAGACCCACTGCCCCAGGTATCTGCAAAGTCAGATGGATTCCTCGGAAGAGCTATGACCTTCTTAATCCTATTGACTTACTCTTGTGGCTACAGTGAGGATGTCCTTCTCAGGTCCTAAGGCCATATTGTATAATTCATTGACTAAATTTGATTCACTCATTCATTTATCCATTTAACAAATATGTATCAGGTCCTCCCTGCGCTGTGCAAGACACTGGGGATACAAATATAAAAAGACATGGTCCTTGCCTTTGAACAGCTGAAGTTTCCTGGGGAACCAAATATTTTAGAATTATGTCATAATTTATCATGATGGCACACTATGGAGATGAGTACATGGTTCAATCAGAACAGAAGTAAAAGAGGTCCTAAGTGTGCTATGAAAGTAAGGCAAGACTTAACAGAAATTAGGTTAGGCAAAAACTAATAAAAGTTTCAAGGTAGATAGCTGGGTGGTTTTCAGTAAAGGCTACTGTGTGTCTAGAGGCACAGAGGGATGAAAGAACATGGTGTGTTCAAGAATCTTGAAATTTTTTAATATCACTTGAGTGTAGAGTGTGAAGTAGTGAATGGCAGTAGGTGAGTAAGGATGGGAGAGAGGGAGTGATTGATAGAACAAGATGCCAGGAGAGACCAGAGGTTTGGGATAAGTAGGCGAGTAGATGGATTAGTACAGGAGACCAGATGGAAAACCATTTTTGCTATTTTTGGTGTCATCAGAGGGGAGGGGGTAAGAAGAGTCAAGACAGAGTAGTTCTTAGATGATGGGAGCAGGAAGGGTAGGAAAACAGGCATATAACCCCTGTTTTCTCTTGAATGTAGGAGAGATTGGTAGATCATTTGCAGAGACTGATCAAGATGGGAATGGAAGGTGCATAGACAGGGTTTGAAATGGGAGAGAGAGAACTAGTACACAGAAGAATTGACTGGTTCTGTTGAGGCCTCAAATGAAGTTGGAAATCATGAATTTATAGTTTACTAATCTCATATTTGTGTAAAGTTCTCTAGCCCTAATAATTACCTGTTTAGGAAACACAGGTTAGAAGAAATTCAGTATGCTGCCCATAAACGAAATTCAGTAGCACTCACATTTCTTACACCTTTTTCTTCTAGGAAAAAAAAATTGGTAGTTAACTAGATTCCTTGGTAATGAGGCAATTATTCAATATTTATTGAGAGGCTACTAGAGGAAGAAACAAATATTTATTAGGTGACCGTATTCTTTATAGATGTTCTCTTACTAAATTCACGTAGCTACCATTTTAAATCACTATTGTTACCTAGCTTTACAGAGAGTGGGAGATGCTTGTCCAAGGACACGCAGCCAGTGGGACATGGCTGAGCCTGGAATGGAAGTGTGTCTGATTTCAGTCTTTCCTGTTCAGCATGTTCCCCACATCATGGGAGACACAGGGTAACGAAGAGAGCAGCTCTGCCTTGAACGGGTTTTCTCTCTTCGTTTCTGTGCTGATTTGTGTTCAGTGTGTAAGTTGTGACTCCTGCGTTTACTCAGTGCTTTGCTTCCTGAGGACCTTCCCATTTGCAATGCCATAGAGAACTTCAGGGGAAAAAAACGTTCTTGCTTTTTATCTGCAGTGAGGGGAAAAGCCTACTTTAGCAGGAGAGTTACATGAGGGGTTGTGGAAATGTCCTGCTGTTCCCAGACACCTAATGGTTTGGAATGCTCCTCCTAGGTTATTGGGCTGACTGCCTCAGTTGGCGTTGGGGATGCCAAAAACACAGCCGAAGCCACGGAACATATCTGCAGGCTGTGTGCTTCTCTTGACACATCAGTGCTGGCAACAGTCAAAGACAACTTGGAGGAACTGGAGGAAATTGTCTATAAGCCCCAGAAGTGTAAGTGGGATCCAGTAGCAAGCCCTTGAGACTTTATTACCCTCTAATAGTCCTAGTTCAGAGCCATTGGGATGAACACTAAATGTTTACCCTTTCTCTGTTTAGTAGAAAGTATTTAACGTCATACTTGGGAAATAATCACGTTTCTGGCCTTTCTCCTCAACTGAGCTCTCTCCCAAGCAATGGATGAACCTCAGGAATGGCCTGTGGAAAACAAACAGCCTTACTCTTCATTTCCATAAAACTCTTACAAAGATAGTAACAATGAGAGAGAGAGGTGATGGGAAAATCTGAGCATGGAAGTGGCCAAGGCCACATCAAGTACACATTTAGCATCAAGTACACATTTAGCATCAGGTACACATTTAGTTACAGCCTGGTCCCGCTGCCCTCTGAGCTCCCCGCCTCCATCCCCTACGCCCGATCGTGCCGCAGTCCTGTGGGCTCCTCAAGTGTGCCACGCGCTTTCCCTGACTTTTCTCCGTGCTTCGCTTTGCACACGACTGCGTTGCTTCCTCCTTCCCTCCTCCCCTGCTCGTCCCACAACACTGCTCCCTTGGAAGATTCGGGGTTCCTTTCCCTGTGCTCCGCCACACTTGCACATACTTAGTCACCTCATTCCTCTGTGGCTGTTTGGTTACGTGTCTTTCTGTCCCCTAAGAACACAAACTTCTCTGGAGCAGGGAGTGTGTCCTTTCAACTGTCTCTCACCAGACCATGGTGCATGGTGGGGGGTTAATAAAGCTCTGCTGAGACAGTGCGACAGTGACTGTTAGGAGGAGTGCAGACACTCCCGGGGGTCCCGTGGGGAAGGATTGAAGAACAGCAGGGGGCTGAAGGTGTGGCATTTGCGGAGACGAGCGGGATACCAGCCCCCTCGGGCACAGGCTCTGCTGAGCAGCGGGAAGGCCGGTGGGGGGGGGGG